CTCAAGGTCAGGAGTTCAAAACATGCCTGACGCGATGGATCCCTCGTCTTACTATAAAAATAGAAAGAAATTAATTGGCCAACTATATATATATATAAAAATTAGCCGGCATGGTGGCTCTGCCTGTAGTCCCAGCAACTCGGGAGGCTGAGACAGCAGGATTGCTTGAGCCCAGGAGATTGAGGTTGCTGTGAGCTAGGCTGACGCCACGGCACTCACTCTAGCCTAGGCAAGAAAGCGAGACTCTGTCTCAAAAAAAAAAAAAAAAAAAAAGGTCTGAAAATAAATGGCCTTAGTAAACCAACATAAATTAGAGGCTGGCCACAGTGGGGCACACCTATAATTCTAATACTCTGGGAGGATGAGGGGGTAAGATTGCTTGAGCTCAGGAGTTCAAGACCAGCCTGAGCAACAAGAGGACCCAACTCTACTAAAAAATAAAAGATTGTTTAAAAAGATTTTTTAAAAAATCTTTTTAAAAAGATTTAAAAAAAAATAAGGTAGGCATCATGGCTCATGCCTGTAGTCCCAGCTACTGGGGATGCTGAGGCAGGAGGATCACTTGAGCCAGGGAGTTTGAGGTTGCAGTGAGCTATGACCATGCCACTGCACTCTACCCAGGGCGACCAAGTGAGACTCTGTCTCAAAAAAAAAAAAAAAGAAATTAGAAAAAGAAAAGCAGAATTGCCTAAATAGAAAATAATAAATGTAATAGCACAAAATAATGAGGTACAAAACAAAGATAGATAGAGAAGACCAATAAAGCCAAAAGTCAGTCTGCTGAAAACACTAGTAAACTTGGTAAACTTTAGAAAAGACAAAATAAAATCAAGTATTTTGTAGAATCAATTGGAGAGCTTTTACTTTAGCATCAGAATTGAGCAATAATGTTCTAACTTGTTATCCTTTATTTCTTAGTGATTTTATATTATGTAAGACTCATAAACAACCAATTTTCATGAACTATACAATTATTTCTAATAGTTTACTCCATTCATCCTTTAATAAATATTTACCGAGTTACTGGGGCTACCATGATAAACAGATATGATCCTTAGTCTCATGGTATTTAGCATCTGCAAGAGAAAATATTAAGCAAGAAAAGAATAACTAATTTCATCACTTTTCTTAATAGGAAATTAAAAGATAACTGTCTAAGGCCAAGGCAGGCAGACTGCTCAAGGTCAGGAGTTTGAAACCAGCCTGAGCAAGAGCGAGACCCCGTCTCTACTATAAATAGAAATTAATTGGCCAAGTAATATATATAGAAAAAATTAGCCAGGCATGGTGGTGCATGCCTGTAGTCCCAGCTACTCAGGAGGCTGAAGCAGTAGGATTGCTTGAGCCCAGGAGATTGAGGTTGCTGTGAGCTAGGCTGACGCCATGGCACTCACTGTAGCTTAGGCAACAAAGCGAGACTCTGTTTCAGAAAAAAAAAAAAAAAAAAAAAAAAAAGATAACTGTCTAAAAACATAAAAGGGAGGAGGGAAGGGGAATAAAACAACCTAATGGGTACTATAAACACTATTTGGGTGATAGGCACACCTATAGCCATGACTCAAGCATTACAAAAACGATCCATGTAATCTAAAACATTTGTACCCCCTTAATATTTTGAAATGAAAAAAAAAAAACATAAAGGCCTAAGGATATTATATAAAGATATAATAGTAACACAAAATAAAAAATACAAAGTAAATTACTAAATTACTATGACTGCTTTCATGACACAATGGCAGAGCTGAGTAGCTGTGACAGAGAGCTCATCATATAGCCTGAAAATCCTAACACTTTCTTGCTCTTTAAGAAAAAGATGGCTGGCCCCAGCCACTATATTAACAGAATAAAGGAGAAATACATTCATCTTAAAGGAAGCAGAAAACATCTGAAAAAATTCAATACTCATTCATGATTTAAGAAAATAATGGTAATGATTCCTGGCAAAGTAGGACAGAGAAGATCCTTAACCTTAAAGGGTAGAAAACCTGCAGCAAACATCATTCTTTATAGTGAATTAGAACCATGCCCATTAAAGTCAAAATGACAAGAATGCCTGCTATCCTCCCTACTCTTCAGTATATAATATCTGATGCCCTAACCAATACACTAGGTCAAGAAAAAGATGATTACAAAAGGAAGATTCAAAATCGTCTTCTTTTAAAAATGGTATAGCTACCTACCTAGGTATAAATCTATAAAGTAAGCATCATTAAGACTAAAAAAAGAGTTGAGAAAGATTATTAGATTCTAAATTGACATACTAAAATCAACCCAACACCTAGATAATATATTCAAGTAATAAGGCTGGAAAAAGGCAATTTGGGAATCCATAGAAGGTAATTAATGCTGGGATTTGGGGGTGGTGTTGACAAGAATGAGGGATTGGGGCTTCCAGCAGTAGATATTATCACCACCATTGTAATTCTTCCTGTAAGAAATAGGGGAGATTCAAGAAGCCATATTCAACAAACATCTCCCAGACTGTCTACATGAAGTTAATGTGTCAAAGTAGTAATACTAAAGCAGTAAACCAGTTCTTGGCAGGACTACTTCAAGTATCAACCCTGGTCACTCTCTTTCAATGCCCATGTTTATTTACTTAAAGCACCCCAACCTCTTCTTAGTATCAGGAATTACTGTGTTTATTTATTTGGTTTCCCCTTACCAAAATCTAAATAAGATTTTAGCAAGGGGAAAATGTTGTCTGCTTCCCCTTACTAAAATGAATGAAGTCAAGGACTTCATTTGTTCTACCCTGTAACCCAAGCACCTAGAATAGTGCCTGGAACATAGCAGATCCTCAATAAATGCACTAAAAGCTGGATGGAAAAGACGACCCCCTCTGCTGAGACTGGAAGGGTAGGTAGGAGCAGTCTGTCAGGCAGTAGAGGCAATGGCCTTAGCAAAGGCACAAAGGCATGAAACAACATGATCCATCTATAGGAAAGCCAATTCAGGGTAGCTGGGAACTGACACACAAGGGATGGGATGAAAATTGGGAACTTGTGAAATGCACAAAAAAGGGGCCAGAAGAGCCTTGTTTGACATTCTTAAGAGCTGGGGCTTTCTCATGAAAGTGATGAGAAGCAATTAAAGGGATTTAAGCCAAAAAGTAAATAGATTTATATAGTTCAATCTGGCAGCTAAGCACAGCAGATTTGAGAGGGTCAAGACTGCAAGAAGGGATCAGAAACTTACTACTTTAGTTCAGAAAAGTAACAATGATAAAAAAATTAACAATAAACACAGATAACCATATTAAGTATTTACTATTTGTGTCATGTGCTATGCTAACATTATCTCATTCAATCATCACAATAATTCTGTGAAGTCAGTACTCTTCCCATTGTATGGATGAGGAAACTGAGGCACAGAGAGATTAAGCAAATTTGCCTAAGGTAAGTGAGGGAGCCAAGATCCAAACCCAGCAGCCTAACTGCAGAACCTGGACTCAAAGCCACTGTTGTGTGAGTACAGAGTCAAGACTCATTTATGAGGTAAACTCAGCTTCACTTTGTGATATCTTTGGAGATAGAAGGTGAGGTGGAGGAAAGTAACTCCAAAGTGTCTGACTTGGATGACTAGCAATTAGAAACTCAAAACTAAAAAAGTCATTGAAGATCACCCACTTTGGCTACCTACCCAATGCCAAAATTTCTTCTCTACCATCTCTCTAACAAATGGTTATCCAGCCTATAAATGATAGAATTACACAGATCTGAGTCAAAATATGTCTCCCATTACTATAATGCTACCGATACAAAATATATAGTGAGAGAGTTGGGTTTTCTGAGATTTTATCCACTAATTTTCATACTGTGATATGCAGAATTCTAGAATTCTATAAAGACCTTATAGCAGTTATAGACTGGCCTCTGCCTCCCCTCCCCTGCTCCAGTGAAGCACTATCAATTTTACAATACTCCTGTTAAGGGTCCTTTTAAGATTTCATTTGGAAAAAAAGTACAATGCTTTTAGAAAGTTTCATAATCACTGATCCAGATCAATAACCCTATTTCATGGCAAAGGAATTTGAGGTCCAGCAAATGTGAGTTGGTCAAGGTCACATGTTCAAGCACTCACAGAGCAAAACAATCCGTCAGATACTGGGAACCACCTCACTCCTCTCAGCTACCTTTCTCTCTTTGTTCATATTTTATTTAAGAATATAATTTTTTAACAGATTTAAAATTGTATAGTAAAGTAATATACCAAAGTACATTCCTTCTTTTTATATTTCCGATAGCTCTGGGTCTTGTCCTAACACTTAGTCCTCTCTACCTTAGAATTGGTATCTAGTAGAAGGTAATTTATATAATGTATTAATATTAATTCTTTTTTTTTTTTTTTTTTTTTTTTTTTGAGACAGAGTCTCACTTTGTTGCCCAGGCTAGAGTGAGTGCCATGGCGTCAGCCTGGCTCACAGCAACCTCAATCTCCGGGGCTCAGCGATCCTACTGCCTCAGCCTCCCGAGTAGCTGGGACTACAGGCATGCGCCACCATGCCCTGCTAATTTTTTGTATATATATTTTTAGTTGGTCAATTAATTTATTTCTATTTTTGGTAGAGACAGGGTCTCGCTCAGGCTGGTTTCGAACTCCTGACCTTGAGCAATCCGCCCGCCTCGGCCTCCCAAAGTGCTAGGATTACAGGCGTGAGCCACCACGCCCGGCCTTAATATTAATTCTTAATCACCACATGCAAGCTCATGGGAACAATGGAGGTATAGCAAGAGGTCTAAGTTGACTGGCATGACTTAAAAGCACAGATATTTTAGGTAACATTCTGCCTTATTTATGCCCTTGCTTAAGAAAGCAATTCAAGTCAATTCAATTAAAATATATGCTTTGGCATAGGATCCTCCAACAGCCTGATTCTTTAACTCCCCCCCCTCAAAGCTTATAACATAAAACTTTTAACTGATTAAAGCTATAACATGATGAGAAAAAAAATATTCTTGCACATGCGAACAAAGATTTCAGAAGCACTCAAGACTCACGCATTTCTATGAACAGCTGTCTCTTCTCTGCCATGGTCTTTCGCTTGTTCCCACTTTCCTCAATCATCCTAGAGACAAAGAAAGATACAATAAACCACTGTATAATCTGACAATTCAACAAAGTGCTAATCATTCTACTACAAGGAGGTACAGGATATCAAGTTGCAAATGCACATTTTAAGATCATATCAGGGCCAGGTGTGGTGGCTCACACCTGTAATCCTAGCACTCTGGGAGGCCAAAGTGGGCAGATTGTTTGAGGTCAGGGTTTCGAAACCAGCCTGAGCAAGAGGGAGATGCCCGTCTCTACTATAAATAGAAAGAAATTAATTGGCCAAGTAATATATATAGAAAAAATTAGCCAGGCATGGTGGCATATGCCTGCAGTCCCAGCTACTCGGGAGGCTGAGGCAGCAGGATCGCTTGAGCCCAGGAGATTGAGGTTGCTGTGAGCTAGGCTGACACCACGGCACTCACGCTAGCCTGGACAACAAAGTGAGATTCTGTTTCAAAAAAGAAAAAAAGACCATATCAGTAAAAATAAACTGGAAGCTTGATCCAGAAAAAGGTAAACCATTGTACTTTTATTTGATAGCTTCTAAAATATTAATAAGTCAATACTTAATTGAGTTTGTATACTTGCTTCTTGTGCTGAAAATATGAGGCTATCTTATTTCTAACTTTATTTTCTCTGCAGAAAAATAGTCCTGGATTAGTTGAGACAGTTTACCATATCATTACTGTTTTATAGATAAACATGCTACTAAATACAATTTAGAAAATAAATATAATGAAAGGCTGCAATAAAGAACATAAGAATGGTTGGCTTATACATTAAAAAATAAATAAAATCTTCTTTCTTTTTTTCTTTTCTTCGAGACAGAGTCTCACTCTGTCACCCAGGCTCAAGTACAGTGGCGCAATCATAGCTCACAGCAGCCTTGAACTCCTGGGCTCAAGGGATCCTCCTGCCTCAGCCTCCCAAGTAGCTGGGACTACAGATGCACACAACCATGCCCGGCTAATTTTTTTTATTTTTTGTAGAGACAGGGTTTCACTATGCTGTCCAAGGCTGGTCTCAAACTCCTGGCCTCAAACAATCCTCCAACTTCATCCTCCCAAAGTGCTGGGACTACAAGTGTGAACCACCATGCTCAGCCCTATTTTTATATTAAAGAAAAAAGGTATTCATCCCCAAACCCAAAGATCTCCTAAATGTAAATTTTCTATCACATAGCCATAGTTTACGTTGACAGACTTAGGCTATGCCTCTGTTAAAACTGCTTACATGCATCGTCTCATTTAATCCTTAGAAAACCCTTTATGCTGGTAATATTATTATTATCTATTATTATCTTCATTTTAGAAATTAGGAAACAGATACCTAGAAAAGAACACTAACCTACTCAAGGGTACACAATTCAAACATGGTAGAGTGTAATCCTAACCCTTAAACTTCTTACATAATTGTTACTTGTAGATACACATTTTCAAATCTCTATGCCTGAAAAGCTAGACCACAAGCCTATTATATGGACCCTACTGATACAAAATTTGTGACAATTTCAGCTGAAGTTTGCCTTACCCTATGAAGAAAAAAATATCTAGACAAAGTGCATAAGTCAAATAATTTCCCTAAGTAGATTAACCTGTTGTAAACCATTCTTAAGTATGATTAAAATGTTATAGATTAAACTGCTGTAAGTCATTCTCAAATATGTTAAAATCACAAATTATATGATGGCCACAAATTATATATCCATTAAAGCAAGATGCCTGGTTATGAAAAGTTTAGTTATAACCTAGAGAAAATTAAAAATGTAAATATATTCCTTAACATTCTGTATTTAGTATTTTATCATTAATACTAGCCTTCTCCTACATCACTGAAATGTTACCAAGTAGGCTTTACCATAAATGATGGTCACTTAATAATTTGCCCCAAGACAAAATAATTTTAAACAGAAAGTCAAAGAAAAAACAAGAAACAGAAAAATCTAATAAAATCTAGATCCTAGAGAAAAAACAGGAGTTGGTACTAGTAGCCTATAATTACAAAGAAAAAAATAATTCAAAAGCTTGCTCCCCCCCAGTCTTGGTCTCTCACTGGGTAATACAAATTTGAAAGTTAAACACAGATTAAAACAGAAAATGTCATATGCCCTTTATAATATACCTGATTTATTATACCTTTCTTCTACTTTTACTATTCCTTTAATTCATTTCTTTCCGAAGTAATTCTTGTCCCTTCTCCAGGGGTAAGAATTCCTGGGGACCCCTAAGTTCTTCATGATAATTTTCTAAATTTTGTTTTTAGTTCCAGATTAATCTTGGAAAAAATTAATATAAATATATCCTGGATCATCTGGACCACCATACTACAAGTACTGCCATGCAATTTGAGGACCCACTCCTGTATGCATAATTACCTGTGGCAAGGTGGCAAGAGATAACCTAAAGCAGTGGTTGGCAAACTACACAAACTATATTACCATGGGCCAGATCTGACCTGTCACCTGTTTCTGCAAATAAAGCCCTACTGGAGCAAAGCCACACCCATTTATTTATGTATTATCTATGGCTGCTTTCATGCTACAATGGTAGACTTCAATAGTAGCAACAGAAAGCATTTGGCCTGCAAAGTCTAAAGTATTTCCTATCTGGTCCTTTAAGAAAAGTTTGCCAACCTGACCTAAAGCAATAGTAATTAATATTAAATATCTACCTATGTCTGGGTACAATTAGGTTAGCATGTCCTCACTATCAAAATGACAACAATCATTCCACACCACCTTGAGTTCCAGTTCTAATACTGGAAGTCTCTCCTTGGGGAAGAGCTTTAATCACTCTAAAATTCATTCTTCACTGCTAAAATGGCATAAAAATTATATATACTTCATTAACCATTCATTGGACAAATATTCATTAAGTAGCTTTTATGTGGCAAGTGCAACTAGAGGTACTGGGAATACTGCAGTGAATGAAAGACAAAGTCCTTGCCTTCATGTAGTTTCCATTCTTGGGAGAGGATTAAATTAGTAATTCATTTAGACAGTGCCTGGGCTGAGCTAAGCACAGATCAAATGGTAGTTGCTATTTTTGTTATTGTTACAATTACTACTACACAAGTAGTTTATAAATGTAGCAGGGAGTATCTCATTTGTAATTAAGGATAGATATTATTTGATTTGATGTATTTTCTTTTAAGAAACTCTTTGGACTTTCTGAAACTAATAAAGCACAAAGTAGACACTTTAGAAATTTAATTATAACTGACAAAATGATGATATCCTGAAATCACACAGACATTATTACAAACTTAAATCCAGCAATAGATAAAGTCTGAACAGACACCTCACCAAAAGAGATATACAGATAGCAGGTAAGCATCAGAAAAGATGTTCAACATCATGTCATCAGAGAATTGCAACTCAAAACAGGCAGATACCAGTGTACACCTGTTAGAATGGCCAAAATCATGAATGCTGACAACAGCAAATGCTGCTGAGGATATAAAGCAATAGAAACTCTCATTCATTGCGGCCGGGAATGAGAAATGGTATAGTCACTTTGGAAGACAGTTTGGCAGTTTCTTTCATAACTAAACATACTCTTACCATACAATCCAGCAATCACATTCCTTGGTATTTACCCAAAGGAGGTGAAAACTTATGTCTACGCAAAACCTGATCATAGATGGTTACAGCAGCTTTATTCATAATTGCCAAAACTTAGAAGCAACCAAGAGGAATGGATAAACTGTGGTATATCCAGACAATGGAATATTATTCAGCACTAAAAAGAAATTCAGCTATCAATTCATGAAAAGATGTGAACTTTAACTGCAATTTAAATGAAAGAAGGCAATCTGAAAAGGCTACATACAGTATAGTTCCAATCATATGACATTCTGGAAAAGGCAAAACTATGGAGATAGTTAAAAGATCAGTGGTTATGAGGGTGGTAGTGGTAGAGTGAGCAGGCAGAACACAGAGTATTCTTAGGGCAGTGAAACTACTCGGTATGATACTATAATGGTGGATACTTGTCATTATAACCTTGCCCAAATGCATAGATTGGACAAGCATGAACCCTGATATAAACTGTGGACTTTCAATGACAATGTTGTATCAAGGTAAGTTCATCAACTGCAACAAACGTACCATTCTGGTGGGGGATGTTGATAATGGGGAGGCTGTGCAAGTGTGTGTACAGGGAGTATATGCAAAAATCTCTGTACCTTCTACTCAATTTTGCTGTGAACCTAAAACTGCTCTAAAATAAAGTCTATTTAAAGAAAAAAATTATCTAGACAGCTTACTAAAATACAAATTAATGGGACCCACCCCACAATTTCTGATTTAGTACATCTACAGTGGACCTGAAAACCTGCATTTGTAATAAGTTCCACTTAGTGATGATGCTGCTGGTCTGGGAACCACACTTTGAGAACCCCCTGGCCTAGTCCTGCTCCTATGCCCTCTTCTGCTTCCCTCATTCCCTTACAGATTTCACCTGACAGCACAACCTCAATAAATTTCTTGCATAAGAATCCCCAACTCAGTTTTTGCTTCTGTTTATGTGGTGAATTACATTAACAGATTTGCGTATGTTGAACCATCCTTGCATCTCTGGGATAAAGCCCACCTGACATGATGGATTATTCTCTTGATAAGCACCTAGATTCGGTTAGCTAGGATTTTGTTGAGAATTTCTGCATCTATATTCATAAAAGATATTGGTCTGTAGTTTTCTTTTTGTTGTTGTTGCATCCTTTCCTGGTTTTGGTATCAGGGTTATGTTGGCTTCATAAAATGTGTTGGGGAGGATTCCATCCTTCTCGATGTTGTGGAATAATTCTACAGGATAGGCACCAGTTCTTTGTAGGTGTGGTAAAATTCAGGTGTGAAACCATCTGTTCCAGGACTTTTCTTTTTAGGAAGGTTTTTTTATTGCTGTTTCAATTTCAGTACTTGATATTGGTCTGTTCAGGAATTCTATTTCTTCCTGGTTGAGCCTAGGGAGACTGTGTGTTTCTAAGAATTTGTCTATTTCATCCACATTTTCC